ATTAGGGAAGCAGAACCTGCTAGGAGGTGACAAAGTCGAAAAGTTGGAATTTTGTGAATCTTGTGTATTTGGTAAATCCTGTAGGGCGAAGTTTAACAAAGGCAAGCAAAGAACACATGGATCCCTGGATTACATTCATGCTGATCTTTGGGGGCCTGCAAGGAATCCTTCACACTCAGGTGCAAGGTATTTTCTATCCATCGTTGATGACTATTCCAGAAAACTATGGGTATTCATTCAAAAGACGAAGGATGAAACTTTTGAGAATTTCAAAAGTTGGAAGATTCTAGTCGAAACTCAGACTGGCAGAAAGGTTAAGAGGTTGAGAACCGACAATGGCCTTGAATTCTGCAACGAAGCTTTCGACAGTTACTGTGTTGGGTCTGGAATTGCAAGGCATAAGACTGTAGCAGGTACTCCTCAACAAAATGGCTTAGCTGAGAGATTCAATCGAACAATCCTTGAAAGGGTTAGATGCATGTTGGTTAGTGTTGGATTGAAGAAGGTGTTTTGGGCGGAAGCTGTTTCGAAAGCAGCTTACCTGATAAATAGTGTTGGTGTAAGCCCTAGAGGCCAATACTTTTTGGTACTTGTATCAGATTATTCGTTTAATAATAAAAGGCATTTCTTTATTATGTTTGTCTTTCAGAATAATAAAGTCCCTAGAATAGTTAGTCTGTTTAATGAAATGTTAAGTGTGACTTAATCATGAGATCCCATTAAACATAAAGACATTATTCTTAAAATATCCGTAGTCAAGCTTTATTGCAAAGTGGGATAACATTAAAAGCATTGAGACTATTATGAAGATAGACTGATGATCACATCTCATGGATCATGGATAAAGAGTTATCAAGTCTTGACATAGGTATAAATATTAGGAGTAATATTTATACCGGATTGACCCGCTATGAGAATACTACATAGTATGTTATGCAAAGTGTCATAAGTTATTCTCATGGTGATAATGGTGTATTACCACCCTTCGACCTGAAACCACTATGGACCCTAGATGTAGAGTCGGGTGCTTTATTGCTGATCAAACATTATCCGTAACTGGATGATCATAAAGACAGTTGATGGGCACTCCACGAAGCATGCTGAGGGACATGAGTGTCCTAGATGGAATTTGCCAATCCTGCATAACAGGAGAAATGTCTAAGGGCCCAATATTGAACTGGACAAGGATGACACAGTGTATGCCTTGTGTTCAATATAGACATAGGGGCAAAAGGGTAATTGTACAAACATATATTATCACGAAAAAGGTTTTGTCAGATCACATGACATTTTCGTGACTTGGGTAGCAGTGATGTGTTGCTAGATACCGCTTACTGTTTATTATGTTAAATATATATAATTTAATATAATTACCAACGTTACGAAATCCTACAGGGTCACACACATAAGGACAGTTTGATGAGAGATAGAGAAATCAAAGGAACACCGTAAGGTACGGTGCACTTAAGTGAAAAATAGAAATTCGGATAATATAATAATAATTATTGTTATTTTATAATGGTTATAAAATAATAATAAAATAAATATATTTATTATAATAATAGTTATTATAATAATATATAATATTATTATGGATCATGTGAATTGGGTTTTAGCCCGCAGCCCACAAGAGAGTCTATAAAAGGAACCCTTGTGATGAAGCTTTCACTTGATGCAATTTCGTTTTGATTCTCTTTTCTCACTCAAATAATTCCGTTCGTAAGCAGCTAGCACTGTGACCGGAAGCTGTTCGTGTGGACTGAGTAGAGGCGTTGCACTTCATCAACGCTTGTGATCGCTGCATCAAAGATCTGAATCGCCACAAAGAGGTAACGATTCTATCACTGACCATGCTCATTCGTGAGGATCACTAAAGGAAAATTTTTGTTTTCCGCTGCGTTTAGATCGCAATTTTCCTTCAAATAGATGTCCCTCGACTGCCTTGGGAATGAAGACACTTGAAGAAGTTTGGTCGGGACATCCATCTAGTCTCGACAGACTGAGAGTATTTGGCTGTGTGGCCTATGCTCATATTAGGCAAGACAAGGTCGAACCTAGAGCTCTGAAATGCATGTTCATGGGATACCCTGAAGGAGTCAAAGCTTATAGGCTATGGTGCCTAGAGCCAGGTCACAGGAGGTGTATCACCAGTCGAGATGTAGTTTTCAACGAAGCAGAGATGGCTTTCAAGAAAACTGATGATGCTGACGAAGAGCTGGAACAGGGAGAGATTCCTGTTGAGGTGGAGCATGTTGATGCTGAATTGCTTACCCCAGATGAAGTCGAAGAAGACATAGAAGATGTTGTCGAAGATGAGGAGACTGATAATGACTACCTGCTAGCAAGAGACAGGTCGAGGAGAGTCATCAAGCCACCTCAGAGACTTGGGTATGCAGATCTTATAGCTTATGCCTTAATCTCTGCAAGTGAGGTTCTAGACGAAGAACCTAGAGACTATAAGGAAGTTATGAGGAATCAAAACAAGACAAATTGGTCTTTGATATATGCTATGGTCTGTACTAGACCCGACATAGCATATGCAGTAAGTCTTGTAAGCAGGTACATGGCGAATCCTGGAAAGGCTCATTGGCAAGCATTGAAGTGGATTTTAAGGTACATAAATGGGTCTCTAAATAGAGTTCTAATTTATGGTGGAGCCTTAGGTGAAGATATTAAAGCAGCAATCGATGGATATGTCGACTCTGATTATGCAGGTTGTATGGATTCCAGAAAATCTATCTCTGGATATGTGTTCACTATGTTTGGGACAGCAATCAGTTGGAAAGCAACACTTCAAAAGGTCGTTTCCCTATCAACCACTGAAGCGGAGTATATTGCCCTAACTGAAGTTGTGAAGGAAGCATTGTGGCTTGAAGGTTTTGCAAAGGAGCTAAAACTTCAAGGTCGAGTTATCACTGTTAAATGTGATAGTCAAAGTGCAATACACCTGTCGAAGAATCCAGCCTATCATGAGCGAACCAAGCACATTGATGTGAGGCTGCATTTCATCAGAGGGGTAATCGAGCGTGAAGAAGTCCAAGTGCTGAAAGTTTCGACAGATCATAATGTTGCTGATATGATCACCAAGACATTGCCCAGTTGCAAGTTTTTCCACTGTATGCAGTTAATAAATCTGCATGAAGAAAGCTAGTTTCTTGATGTTATACAGTTAGATCCAAGGTGGAGATTTGTGAGACATTGGATCGAACTCTAGTGTGGTCGAAGTCTGTTCGCAAGTAATGCGTGTTGTAGTCGAAGTTTGTTCTAACATGCATGAGTAAATATTGCTAAGATTGTTAGCATGAGTAAATATTGCTAAGGTTGTTAGCATGAGTAAATATTGCTAAGGTTGTTAGCATGAGTAAATATTGCTAGGGTTGTTAGCATGTTGAATTGGGTCTTGTTTGTAAGTCCAATTGTTTAAGTTAGCTTGTACTCTAAGTTAACTTGTAATGGGTAATTGTTAAAAAGCCCATTAGGTTAGTGTGCTATTTTATTATAAATAGGATGCTAGTTTCTCAATCTTGAGAATAAGGAAAAATAGGAAAATAAAATCCTAATTTCAAGGGAGAGAGGTTATTTTTGTTATTCTTGTATACTTGTAATCTTGTTCTAAGAGAAAGGAAAGAATAACAGTTTAATAACCAATCCTTGTTGTTCCTTGTTGTTTTACCTTGTTTTCTTTGTTAACCCTAACCCTTGTGTGTTTCTTGATCATAAAGAAACCGTGTATACTTTGTTTAAAGGTATCTGATTCACAACAAAAATATAGTTAGTTAGTTAGTAAAACAATTGTTGTTGTTATATATATATATATATATATATATATATATATATATATATATATATATATATATATATATATATATATATATATATATATATATATATATATATATATATATATATTATCTTCTATTTGGGATAAGGAAGGGATGGATTGGGATCATTGAGGATCTTCTTTTTAGTTCTTCTTCACAAAGAGTTCTTGTCTATTAACTAATCAACATTGACTCCTCTCTTTTTTTTTTTTTGGTCACCTTGAGATTCACCCTCGTCTTTTTCTTTTCTTAATTCTCCTTTTTTTTCAATTATCACTTCTTCAACTATTTCATCCTTATCTTTATTAACAATCACTTCAAAACTTGTGTCTACATCCTTACAAGATTCATTCTTAAGATTATATATATATAACAATAATTTTGCCTTTCAAAAACTAGCATTTTTCTTGTAGCGTGAGCTCTTCGATAATAACATTTATCTTGTAGTATCGTTTCCAGATCTAATTTTTATGTATTATGTTATTTAAAACAAAAATTATTTTAAAAGTTCTTAGTATTTAACAATTTCTTTTACGAAATTTTTTTTCTTGAAAATCATTTCAAACAAATATTTTTCATTTTTGTAACATAATTGAGTTCTTCAAAAAGTTCCTCCAAAAATATTATTTTTCAGAACTTTCAATTTATTTTTGAGGATTTTTTTCTTTAAAAAAATATCATGTTGCTTTTGTATTTTTTAGAGATTTACCAACCCACACACTTGCATTATGGTTTCTTCTTCTTCTTTTAATTTATACATATAGGACAAGGTAATACTATTTTTTATTTTTTTTGGCCAAAAGAGAAGTAGTATTTTTTTTTTATAAATAAGATGAAAAGTGAATTGACTCAAATCAATTGAGTTACACTTTCATTATTATTATTAATGACAACTTTGAAATTTGAACATAAGTGTAAGGTGTAGAAATAGTCAGAGACAAAAGGCAATAGATTTAAAAAATAAAAACATAAAAAAAACTTTAATTAATGATATATCTTAAAACATCTTTGTTTTTTCCTAATTCAAGTTAGACAAAAGCCACGTTTCAATTGAAAAGAACTCTCCTATTTTTACTATAAAAGTCTTCAAAGAGTTTTTTTTTTAAGTGATGCATTTAGAAAAAAGACTTGTGATTTTGTTTTAGAGAGAGAGTTCAAAGAGAGAGAAGAGAAAGAAGAATGAAAATAGAGAGAAAAGAGATTATTGAAGAAGCAAAGAAACAACTATGGCTAGCAGGACCAATGATATTTGTGTGTGTGTTTCAGAACAGCTTACAAATGATATCTCTCATGTTTGTTGGACATTTGAATGAGGAATTGCTTCTTGCTGGTGCTTCTTTAGCTATTTCTTTTGTCAATGTCATTGGCTTCAATGTAATGGTAAGTTTATATCACTTTCTTCATCTTCCATTTTCATTTTTATTGATGTTTATACATGTATGAAAGTCAAGGTAGGCATGTTCAGTTATACTACTAAAATATTTTTAGTATCATGTCAACTTGTGTTTTAAAAATACATGCACGATTTTTAAGAGATTTTTATATATATGTTTGAGTATTTTTCTGGTAAAATTAAGTTTGTCTATAAAATTGATTTGAAGTTAAAGTTCTGACTTATATCTTTTCAATCTAGATACGTTGAACACACTTTTATGTAAACCTGTTTATACATAAAATTTATTTTATACTTAATTCATTTTTATTCATAATCAATTATATAAAAATTAATTCATTCAAAATTAATTTTTATCGTTGTAGAATTAAACACATGTTAAATTATTTAAAAGAGAATGTTAACGAGTGCTTCCGAGACAACCTTATTTAAAATGTTTTTTTAGGTAAATTTTAACATTTTTCTTATTTTTAAGAAAATTAATATTTTTTGAACATAAATTAATTAATTATAATTTTAAAATTATTAATCTATTACAAGTCAAACATTTTAATATATTTTATATATTGACTTGGTTTCTTAACTAGTGTGGTGTTACTAACAAAGTACAAATAGTTGCCAATATTCTTGTAAACCCAATATGTACATTTCTATCAATTTTTAGATTGTAAAATTTATATTTTTGGGAAATATAAAACTTATATCACAGTGATAATATATTTTCTCAAAAAATTAATTTAGAATAGATTATTATTATTATTATTATTATTATTATTATTATTATTATTATTATTATTATTATTATTATTATTATTATTATTATTATTATTATTATTATTATTATTATTATTATTATTATTATTATTATTAACAACGTTGATATTAATAATTAATAACTAAATTGTGGTATGTTGAAGTTTTAATAATAAACTACTAAACTACAAAAACTAAAATAATTATAAATATAGTAGTATTTTTCTTTTGGTCAAAATACTATACTATTCTTTGTAACTAATGTTAATATTTGCTTAGATGGGCATGTCAAGTGCACTAGACACATTTTGTGGTCAAGCATATGGAGCAAAACAATATCACATGGTTGGAATCTACACACAAAGAGCAATGTTAGCTACTACACTTGTTAGTATCCCCTTATCAATCATTTTGGCATACTTAAAACCCATTTTAATTCTCCTCCATCAAGACAAAGCCATTGCATCCCAAGCTCAACTCTTTGCTCGTTACTCTATTCCAAGTCTCTCTGCCAATGGCCTTCTTAGATGCATTGTTAAATTCCTACAAACACAAAACATTGCTTTCCCTATGGTGTTTACTAGTGGACTCACTACTTTATTACATGTTGTTCTAAGTTGGGTTTTCATTATCAAATTTGGACTTGGTATTCAAGGAGCTGCTATTACAATTTGTATCTCGAATTGGATTAATGTGTTACTATTGGTAGTTTACATCAAGATGTCGTCTTCTTGTAAAGATACTTGGGTTGGTCTTTCAATGGAGTCTCTTCACAACATTCCTCAGTTTCTCAAACTTGCTTTTCCTTCCGCAGTCATGGTTTGGTATGGCATTTTCTTCAATAAATTTATATACAGTTCAGATTAGTTATTCAATAAATTTAAAAATTATTTATTTTTATAATAAATAAACTCTTCTTATCCTTAAAAATATTTATCTAATTGCATATATATTATATTATTGCTTTGTTATAGTTTGGAATCATGGACATTTGAAATAATGGTGCTTCTTTCTGGTGCTCTTTCCAATCCAAAATTGCAAACTTCAGTGCTTTCTATATGGTTAGTTTCTCTTATTGAATTACGTCACTCCATGCATGTTCTGTATATATTATTTTTTTTTTTTTGACAAAATTTATTTCTTTGTTTAATAATTTACAGTGTAAATATAAATGGTATGTTCTGGATGATACCATTTGGAGTTAGTGTTGCTGGAAGGTTAGTCTTTCATGCTAAACTCTCCTAATATTTTGATTAATCATGTTAAACTCTATGAATAATGTAATGAGTCTCATTACACAATAGTACAAGAATCTCGAACGAACTTGGAGCTGGATGTCCAAACACCGCATATTTGGCAGTAATAGTAACCTTATTCATGGGCTTAGCCTTTGGAGTTCTAGAGTTTGGTTTTCTTATGTCGGTATGGAAAGTTTGGGGCAAAGCTTTCAGCAATGTACGTGAAGTAGTCTCTTATGTGTCTTCCATGACACCGATTGTCGCAGTTGCTGTCTTTGTTGATTCATTTCAAACAGCATTCCAAGGTAATAGAATCGACAATTTATTACTCCTCTGATGTTAATATATCTAAATTATTATATAGATCAGATATATTAATTATTTAATAAATTCAAAAAGAAATTTTTTCTATTTTTGTTCATGCATGTTACATGAATCAAAAACTAAGTAATTGTTTGGTTGTGAAAAGGCATTGCTAGAGGATGTGGTTGGCAGAAGTTTGGTGCATATGTTAACCTAGGATCTTTTTATCTTGTGGGAATTCCTTGTTCTGTTGTATTTGCTTTTGTCCTCCACATGAAGGGGCAGGTAAGAGTTAACTATTTTTTTAATCCTTTTTCTAAATTTGCTTAGAAGTTACTAATCTAGTTGATTTAGAACTACTAAATTTGAGATTATCTTGATTTTTTCATAAACACAGGGACTATTTTTAGGTCTTATAATAGCACTTATTATTCAAGTGGTGTGTTTTGTTATAGTCACATTGCGCACCGATTGGGATAAAGAAGTAAGTCTTCTTAGTTTCAAATAATTTTTGTTATTAACTATAGACGATTTTAGTGGTTTATGGTTATAATCAGTATTATGATCAAGACGGCAATCGAATTGATGTCTATTTGACAAAAACAGAGAAAATTTTATGAGGCGAATTTTGAAATTTACAATAATTTTTCTCTGTTTTTGTCAAATTAGTATCGAGTTGTAGAAATTTCGAACAATTTTCAAGTTTAAGGACGTATTAACAACATTATGTTACATTGTTCAGGCAAATAAGGCTGCCATAAGAGTAGGAGGCAATGGAGTTCAAGTTAATGCACTTCCACTTGAAGAAATTAATGTTACTGATAAATAGTTAGAAACTTACACTAGAATTTTATGAGTAGAAGATTTATATATGTAGAAAATAGAAATAAAGCTCAGTATCATGTATTCAATGCAAAACCTATTTATTATGCCTGAGAATATCATCAAAGGAACCACATTGTTCTTACACCTTTTTCAATGTGTCTCAAGAATGCATTTTTACTAAATAAAATGTTGGTAATTTATAAAACTAGGTTAAAATTTTTGCTTCACATATATCATATAATTTGGATGATGTGAAATTTTGTTCCTATCCATACATTTTTTTCCTAGGTGTGAATTTTCTAAGGTATCGTTTATGTGTTTTTGTTAGAAGTTATTATTCGATATTTTGTCAAAAACTAGCATTCGATTATGTCGAAGTAGCTAGTTGAAGGTGTAGGAGTCAGTTATATTTGACAGAGTTGAATTCAGCATTTAAGTTCTTGTGCCGATGTCAAAATATAACTTGTATATTTTAGGTTTGGGTCGATTTGTATAGTTTTAGGCATAGACTTTAATTTCTTATGTAAAGGCATTGTATTATGTAAATCTTAACAACTTCAATCAATAATATTTCTCTTGTACAATTCACTTTTTATTATTTCTCTCTTTTATCTCTTCTTCTTCTTCTCTCATCTTTCTTGAAAACCCTTTTGTTCCAAAGAATTAGTATAAAGAGTCTGGATTTTGATTCAGAGAAAATCTGTAATGGAAAACGAAACAACAACATTAACTCAATTTTCAGCGAATCTACTGGTTTTCAAATGTGAAAACTACGAACGATGTGTTGCTTAGGTGAATGTCATCTTCAGATTTCAAGATGTGTCTGAAATCGTGAAAGATAAAGTACTGGCATTGGAAGTAGATGTAGATGATGTTCAGAAAGTTGCACACAAAGATCAAAGGAAGAAAGAAGGAAAAACTATGTTCTTGATCCATCAATGTGTGGATCGTAACGTGCTTGAGAAGATAATTGAAGAAGAAACGGTTAAAGGATCATGGAACAAGTTGAAGAACTTGTATGGCGGAGATGAAAAACTGAAAAGGGTGAAGTTGCAGATATTGAGAAAGCAATTCGAGATAACTCAGATGAAGGAAAATGAATCAGTGTCGGAATACCTTTGACGTGTGGTGTTGTTAACAGAGTAGATGAAGGTGTTTGGTGAATCAGTTAACGATTTACAGAAGATTAAGAAAGTGTTGAGATCTCTGATTGTGAATTTTGATGACATTATAGTGTCTATTGAAGAGTCCAAGAACCTATCTAAGATGAAGTTGGGAGAACTTCAAACTTCATTAGAGACTCGTGAGATGAGGTTGAAGTAGAGAAACTCAGAAAGAGAAATGTGGCTAAACAAGCAATACAAGCAAGATTCGTCAAGAAATCTAAGAAAGAGAAGGCGAAGCTGGGAAAGAATATTGCTAATGATGAGAAGTCAAGAAAGAACTCAAAGAATTACTCTTATTTGATCAAGAAAGGCATGATCAACAAGTATTATGGGGAAAACGTGAAGGAGGTGCAGTGTTATAAATGTCAAGGATTTGACCGCTATGCTCAAGACTGTCAAAGAAAGAAGGAAGCATGAGCGAAAGATAGCGATTAAGTACAATATGCACATGCTGAAGATAATGATTATGATTATGTTCTACTCATGGCTAACACCCTATCGAATAATGAGCAAACTAACACTTGGTTCCTAGATTCAGGATACAGTAACCACATGACTGGTGTTAGTTTCATGGTTCTATGATATAGAATTGTCCATGGTTCTATGATTGGCTAAATTTTGTTAAAACATGATCCTGCACTGATGTTAAGCAGGATGTTATAACATCTCCATTTGCTGTGGTGACAGAACTGTTGTGGAGTGTTTTAATGTGAATGTCATGTTGAATGTCGTGACATCCATCATGACATCCATCTACTGTCATGACAGAACTACTGTCATGTGTGAGAAATAGCAGGAGTAGTGGTGCAGCAGGAGCTGATAACAGAACTGTTGTCATGTGTTATAAACAGGATGTCATTACCAATATCATGACATCTGGTGCAGCAGGAGCTAACAAGAGCAGATGACAGAACTGCTGTCATGAATGCAGAAGGAGCTAGCAGGAGCTGATGACATAACTGCTGTCATGGATGTCATACTGAATGTCATGACATCAATGTCAGGTACAACAGGGGCTGCTATGTTATATCTCTTGACAGAAATGTTTTGGTCCTGTTGGATATTCCTTATCAGTATGTACAGGCCAAAGAGATTCATTAGGAACAAAGTGCAGATTTAATTAGTGTTCATAAAAAGGATCATTGAGACTTTTTAGGGAACTATAAAACATTTGTTTCTACTATCATGAAGAAAATTCTGCAGAAGTTCTCAGCAGGGCAAGCTGAAAAGCAAGTTTAAATGAAGCTGAATGTCATGACCAATGTTATGACATTGATCGTATGACATCAGGCGTGCAGGGTTTGTTTTTCTGTTATGATACCTGATATATCTCAGGCTAAATTTCAGGAAACCTGTTATGGCTTCTTAGTTATCTCAGGCGAGATTCTAGTCAGGGCTGGACATAACATGAAGCTGCTGCGACCTAATTTGACAGCATCTTGAATTGTGGAAATTAGTTTTATTTTGTTAAACCTAATGATGAAAGCACCTTTTAGTGGCTCTGCTGCATATTCTTCTGATGAAAGAACTCTGGTAGCCCTGGGAGAAGATTATCATATAAAGGCTGTGGCAGGTTATTGGATACTGTTTTGCTGAGCTGTTGCTTGTGTGCTTGGACTATTCTGTTGTGTGGGAGGTGATTTATTTTCACCACTCATGACTTGCAAGGAGTCTATCAGCAGAGGAAGTCATAGAGAGGTTGAGTTGATAACACGAAATCGTATATATATTTTGATGCATAATTCAACTGAAGTTTAACTGTTTTTGATCCGATTTCGGGTTATTTCCGTGTTATTTGTCTGATGTTTTGCAGGTATTTGATGCTCACGTCTAAACAAGGAAATATGAAGAAAAGAAGCAATCTCAGATGAAATATGGACGAAAACCGGATGAAAACAACATGAAAAACGCAGAATGCTGATTTTGCTGTTGTGACGACCGTCACAGCTCCATGACGACCGTCATGCAGGCAAAAACGCCCCACTTCAAATGCACGTGAAAGAAGCAGTTCCAAGTCCCAAATAGTGGACCACGACTCCCTGATAATTCTGCCTCAAAGTCCACCTTCTTCAAGTTATAACCGTTAGAATTCCATTTCTATAAAAGGGGAAGAAGGGGAACTCAGAAAGGGGGCCGCATTCATACAACGAAGTGCTGCCAATTTATCTTCAGAGCAACCTTTCCAGTTTTTCTATTCTTATTTGTTTCTCTTTTCTTTTTCTGCATTCCTTTCATTCCTTCTGTAATTTTTATTTCCGTTGTACGATCAAATTGGCACAAAGACCAGAATCCTGCCAACATCTGTGGAGGGTCTGCCCAAAGGTCAATTGGAATATTTACAGGTTTCTCATTTCAATCGTAATTCTAGTTTTTATTATGATGCATGCTATTATTTATTATTTTCATTTATATTTTACCTTTCCCAAATCCATGTCTGGATAAATTAAAGTAATCGATATGTAGTAATAATTCGAAAGGGATTTGATAATAACCGGTTGAAAACTGTCTTTTTCAAAGGTCGTTTATGGTCTGAGTGTTTAAAATTAATTTACTGAATAAAATTCATCGTGAAAGCGAGAACTTATTTAAAAGTAGTTTTGCCACGAAAGTGGGAAATTAATTAAGGTACAAACCAACAAGCGAAAGCTGCGGCAAGATCAGATAGTAAACACTAGTCATTCATTTTAATAACAGCAAAAGCACTTTAAAATGAATTAGAACTTAGAGATTTCCAAAAAATAATTTAAACCCCGAATGGGATACGAAAGTGTACGTTTGGCCCTTAGAATTATGATTAGCGTCAATAACCATCGTGAGGCGAGAGTCTTCAGATCACCATTTTCTGCTTAAATAAACTCTGAAAAATATTTCATACACCGGTAACTCGTCAAATCCCCGAAGAACATAATTACTGCATATCGATTCAATTAATTATACTTTAATTAACATTCTTAGTTCCCTTTAGTGACAATCTTACTCCCTTAAGCATTATCTACCTAGCTAAACATAGTAACTCCCGAGAACACTAGTTTGATTACGAGTCCCTGTGGGATCGATATCTATTATTACTACGCGATAGACTGTGCACTTGCAGTTAGGTTGTATTAGACATAGAAAGTCGCGATCAAGTTTTTGGCACCGTTGCCGGGGACCCGTTTAGTCAATAGTGTAACCTTCTGTTACGCCGTATAGACTAGGTTAACAATTTCATTTTTCCTTTACTAGTGCTGTCGATTGTATGCCAAGTGATCGCCCGCAAGGCGATATCTTGAAACCTTCAGTCGCAGAACTAGAACGCTTCTTACATCTAAGAAGCCGAATCATTGAGTACCAACTCAAACATAACATTCCCGATCCTCTCACTCCCATTCCCAAATCCGAAGAAGAATCAAACATGGCTGAAGGACCTCCAAACAAACCGCTGAAGGCATACGCTACACCCTCTCAGATGGAGCCTAGGAGTAGCATTGCTGCCCCAGCTATTACCCGAAACGATTTTGAGCTGAAACCATCATTACTGTCAGTTGTGCAACAAAACCAATTCTCAGGAAACGCAACTGAGGATCCGAACGAACATCTAGCGAAGTTTGTACAATACGCAAACACGGTGAAAGCAAATGGAGTAACTCCAGACGCGATAAGACTTCGTCTTTTCCCATTCTCTCTTAGAGACAGAGCATGGACATGGTTACAATCCTTACCATCCAACTCCGTTACGACGTAGGAACAATTGAAGAACGTCTTCTTAGCGAGATATTTTCCGCCAAGCAAAACTGCTATGCTTAGAGCTCAAATCAACGGATTTCGACAAAAAGATACTGAATCTCTTTACGAAGCA